GAGGAGGAGTACTCCTCCTTGGTGATAGTTCCTCCCTTCCCCTGGTTGTACGCCCCACTTTTAGTCCTTAGGCATTGCTGAATGCCCTTGCTGAGCCAAGGGGGTTTCTGAGCACTCTTACCCCCCTTGCTTCTCTCAGGGACTGTTATCCTTTGCACCTGGAGGATCGCCCCCTTAAGGTATGACCATCCCTCGTGGACTCCCATCTCCTCTACATTCTGGACCCTCAGTGCCTCCCCCACTAGTCTCCTAAGCTCATTGAAGTTGGCCCTTCTGAAGTCAAGAGCTTTAGCCTTGATGTGAGCCGTAGATGCCCTGCGTTGGATAATGAAATCCAGCAGGTGATGATCGCTATTGCCCAGGTGGTCAAGGACCTGCAGTCCCCTCACCAGGTCATCCCCCATGGCCAGGACCAGGTCTAGCAAGGCGTTACCCCTAGTGGGGCTGTGCACTTCCTGGATAAGGTGAAGGTCCTGTAATACAGCCAGGAACCTACGCGAGCGGTCAGACCCGGCTGTCTGCTCCTCCCAGCAAATGTCTGGGTAGTTTAGGTCACCCATGACAATAACATCCCTTGACCTAACCGCCTCCATAAGATGACTGGAGAAGTCCTGGTCTAGCTCTTCCCCCTGGTTGGGTGGTCTGTAGTAGACACCCACTGTAAGGTCCCTTTTGCCACACCCCTCTTATAGTTTGACCCATAGTGTCTCTGCCTGACCCTCCTCTAACCCGAAGCTAATCCTTGATACTTTCTTGTGTTTGTTTATTCTTATATCTCTGCATGCATCTCAACATACTTCTATTTTCTAAACTGGTTTCTTATGATTGCTCTTTGTTTTGTTATTCTTTATAACTTGTTTATTGTCAGTGGTAAGTGTGATTTCAAAGTGTTTTCCCAAACAAGCAGGGCTCTTCTCCAGAAGAGGAGATTTGTAATTTCTGAGCACATGACTGGGCAAACGTGAATCTTCTTGCCGGCAATATGGCCTCTGATAAAAGCTGACACAGCCTGGGTGAGACGGGTGAAGGAGTTGGCCCTTGGTACATCTCAGGGTGTTCTGAGTGGTCAAGCAGCAGGTGGCAGAGAGGGATTTGGGGATTTGAAGGACACTCCTGATGGTGTGAGAACACCCTGGAGTATATCTCAAAGATGCATCTGACCAAATTTGGGGTCAGGGTATATTACAGCAAGCATCAGACATGCAGTCTTTATTTCTGAGGTCTGAGAAAATTCAATGCAAGAGCACAGGAGGCTTGGAGTCTTACTTTCCCCTTACAGCCTTGCACACATGAATGGAATTAGTTGCTGTTTATTTCTAAGTAAGTTTATGATGTTTAAATATTTCTGTAATTATTTTGTAGACCTCAAATTATCTCTTGGAAAAAAACATTTTTATGGGCTTTTTTCCACTTTAGTTAATAGGTTGATTAATCAATATATTGATTTCTAGGCAGCTTGTGAGGCAAATATGCCTACCCCACAGCTCTCAACATCAAATGGATCTTTTAATCCTGATGGAAACAATATGGAAGACTACAATGAGTGAGTTGTGTAGAGAAGATTTTTTCTTAAGTTTTTTTAGGGCAGTAAATGAAGCCATCGAAGGAAATTACACTAGTAGTCCTTGTAGTTGGATTTGATACCAGTAGTGACAACAGTTTGACAAAAGAATACTATACTTCCCCATTTTTTATAAGGGCAAGGCTGTGCATTAACTGCTCTTGAATTAGTGGATCCCATCAATGAATGTACATGTTTCCCTCGATTTATGCAGTACATGAGTTCCCGAAGAACGGTGCATAAATCGAATTTGCATAAAGCGAACCCACTTTATAATGTAACAAATAGGGATAGGTTCCTATGGTGGTGAGGGAGGGAGGCTGGAACTAGGGAAGGGGCTGGGAGAAGGGTGCCGCTCCCAGGGCTGCACAAGGCAGCAAACCAGAGGGAACTAGAGTGGCTCTCACCCTAGCCCCAGCTGCAGGGGCCCCGAGAGTGGCCAGCTCTAGCTGCTTGTAGCAGCTGAGCTGCACCGTGCCCTGCACCAATCAGCTGCTCCCAGGGTCGCTTTAGCACGGAGTGGGGTGAGTGCAGACAAGCAGAGTCACTTCCGGGTTTGCAGCAGGGAGCAAAGCAGAGGGAACTGTTAGTGGGTGGGGGGTTGTGCCTCTTTCTGCCCCGCACCCCTGGGAGGGCTGCGGGCTGGGGTCTGTGCCCTCCCAGGGGGTGCAGATTAGAAAAAGGCGCGCTTCCCCCACCCACTGACAGTTCCCTCCGCAGCTGATGCAGGCTGCTCCTAGGGCCGTTGCAGCCGGTGCTGGGGTGAGTGCCGCACCCAGCACTGCCCTCTTATCTGCAGTCACCCCAGCCCATGCTGGAGCAGCCCCAGAAGCAGCTGACACCAGCTGCCTGCACCAAGGCACAGTGCAGCCCAGCGGCTGCAGGAAACTGGAGCTGGCTGCTCACGGAGCCGCTCCAGCACTGGCTGGGGTGAGTGGGGACCGGCAGAGCCCTGGGGGGCTTGGAGCACTGTGCAGCCTAGATTCTACAGGCAGCTGGTGTCAGCTGCTCCTCAGGCTGCACCCCTGAGGCTCCACTTGTTTGCACTGACCCCAGCCCATGCTGGAGTGGCCCCAGGAGCAGCCAACACCAGCTGCCTGCACCAGGGCATGGTGCAGCCTAGGATCAGATGCGAGTACAGGGCAAGTGGAGCCCCGGGCGGCACAGGGCACAGCACTCACCCCAGAGCCCAGGGGCAGGGGGAGCACAGTGCAGCCCAGTGGCTGCAGGCTACTGGCTCCGGCTGCTCCTGGGGCCACTGCAACCAGGGCTGGGGTGAGTGGGGTCATGGCCCTTTCCCCTCCCCCCACAGAGTTACCTGCTTGGGGGGGCGGGGGGGAAGGGGTGTGTGTATGCTGGTCACATAACAGTGAATTTACCTCACATATAATGAGTTATGGGTATAAATATGCTGATCGCATAAGAGCGAATTCATATATAAAGAACCTGCATAAATTGAGGGAAACCCATATGTCAGTTCTTGCACCAAATTGGTTTTTTTCCTGATAAATTTAAAGTTTGAAATGTGTTCTCTGATGCATTCTAGTGTTGCTTACTCATTAATTTACTCAAAATTGCATTGTTTTTTAACATGTAAATACGCATTATGATGCAGTGCTCTAGTCAGTATCGCCAAGTCTAGGGTCTGTCTCACTTATATATACATGCTCTCTTCTGCTCTCAAAACCTTCACTACACTTCACCACTGAGCAATTTAACACCAAGTGTACACCGATGATCAAATTTTCACATAAAGGCGCACACATGTCCACAAAAAATGCATGTACCCAGTCTTTATTGGCATTCCTAGGCATTAATCATGTAACTGCATGTAGAACTGGCACAACTGAGCAAACAGACATTTGTGTTTGCATATATGATTTATGTTCATAGGTTTTTATTTTTAGCAAGCAGGTGAATGTTCATGCAGATTTGATGTGCACAATAAGCAGTTTAAAATTTGCTGCTGTTCCCCAGTTCTGAAGAAAAACTTACAAATTCATAAAAACTGATTGTACCTGAAAATCAGTGTCCTGCACATATTAATCCACACTGGGGCTTTCATGTTAATACACCTAGGTTTCAAGTCTTCCACTTGCTGTAACCACTTTGTGGAAACCCAGGAGCCAAAAGCACAAGAGGTCAATCCACTCTCCCATGTAGCTGTTAGTGTTGCTTTAGTTGTTAACTCTGAAAATGTTCTTGCAGAATTCCTGTTTTGTTATTGCAGGCTCCTACACAAAGTCAGTAAAGAACTGGCAGAGTGGTATTTCCAGGATGGCCGTGCAGTGCTTGCAGCATGTTGCCATTTAGCTGTTGAAAACATTGAGGTAAAACATTTTTTTTCTTTGTCTGGTGCAGAGGAAAAAACCGTTAATAATGAATTACTTTGAAAGCAAATACCATAGATGTTTTCTATGCTATAAAGAACAATATTGCCATCAGTTTAAATATTTTAGATATTTTTTCCTCATGTTGATAGTCAAAGTGAAATCCTGGTCCCACTGAAGTCAAACCTCCCATTGACTTCAACTGGGCCAGAATTTCACCCTTAGACAAAAAAAGAAATGTCTCTTTAATACTATGCTAGTAAATGTACATTCTTTTTCTATAAATAGCTGTATCAGTCCCAAGAACTGTTTGTGTTGCTGTGGTGCCCCAAACTCTCCATTCAGGATTTGGGGCTTCCCTGTGCTACATTGTATGAAGAAATTCAGGGAAGATACAGACCCTCTCCTGAAGGACTTGCATGCAAAATCAATAAACAGGAAAATATAATAGGCAGATAACATAATGCATGAGAGAGCTCTCTTGTTAGTTACATTTTCCTTTTTTATTTTCATTACTCCCAAACAGCACAGTTATCTATTTAGGCTGCCCGGGTGCTTCAGCCAGTACATCCCACGTTCCATTTTTCCTCCCTGCAGAAATAGATTCCAGTTCAGTGGGAGGTGAGGTGGAGGGGAAAGTAACCAATCTTTTATAGTCTCTTGGGCACCAAGTGGTTTAAATGTTTGTGGCCTCTAATACCTCATACCCCTCTCCTGTCTGTGCTGGCTGCTCCAGTCTGTCTTTACTTCATGGAGAAGGTAGGCAGGGAAGATTTGCAGTCAAAAGTCCTTTTGGTTCAGGAGTAAGGGGCAGCATGGCATCCTGTGTACCTTGTGGTCCTTCCAGGGAACCAAGACATAATATACTTCATTAAGACAATGTTAATTTGTTGTTGTTATTTAGACTTTGCTATTTAAACAGTTTGGTTTGACAAAGAAAAATATTACTGTTTGGGCCAAAGTAAAGCAGTTCTGTTAGAAAATATCACAACTACATAGTAGACAATTATTAACTCCTCTCAGAGCCAGAACAGTCTTAATTCATTTAATGTATGTTTTGTCACTTTGTAATATGCACAATTTCACAAATGAATGAATGTAGTATGCTCATCACAGTGAATCCTAAAAAGTGCTTCTGTCACTTAATAATATGATTTTCTTATTGAGCAAGCTTGCCATGGCACACCTGATTCGTGGAAATGAGCTGGAGTTGGCAGTCAGTGTGGGTACTGTCTTAGGAGAAAGTGCAGCGCAAGCAACACATTATGCTCTAGAATTACTAGCAAGAAAATGTATGACAGTAACAACATGGTAAGAATTTTTACTCCAAAGACTTTTTTTCTTAAAAAAACAAAAACAGAACCCCCCCCCCCCCCCAGAAGTTGTTGTACTTGATTCTGAAGTCTTTATTCAAGCAAATCAACAAAAGGCAGGTAGAGTTTTGCTTGAGGGAGAGTTGTAGTATCAGCCCTGTAATGAATAAAGAACCCAACCATTGGTCATTGAAACCAGAATATGTATAAAAGGCATTGTAAATGAGTAAACATGAGTGATTATCAAGAGTGTATTTGAAAAGGAAAAATTATCTCACTTGTCACAAATTAAAGAATTAAAACAAAGTTAATAAAAATAGATGAGAAAACTTGGTAAGAAGCGAGTCAGAGGGGGAGAATAAGTAGCAGCTTAAAATCTGTGATGCAGTACTTAAAAGTATTTGAGGTGTAAACACCTTGGTGAAGGGCTACATAGAAGACTTGAGGAACTGTTCAGATGCTATAGGGTTGCTGTTTTGACTCCTCCCTCTTCCCCCCAGTAGAAAGAATATATGCCTGTGTTCCAAGCCCCCAAAACTTCAAATGGTCCAAATTTCCCCCACCCTCGTTCATTGCACTGTTCTTACCGGAGCAGGGGTGCAGTTTAGGTTTGTACACTGTGGCTGCTTACAGCCATTAAAAAGAAAAAAAAACGCTATTTACCAGAAAAAGCAGCATGTTAGCTCGATCCAGCTCCGCAGTGTCTGTAAAGATCAGACACTTCAGCAGGGCATTTTGGCACTTTTATCCAATAGCGGATTCAATCAGCTATTAGATAAAAGTACCAAAAAAGCCCCATTAAGGTTCCTGGTCTATGCAGGTGTTGGGTGAGCTAGGTCCAGCTAACATGATGCCTCTTCTGGGGATGTGCTGAGTTTAAAGTAAATGCCATTTTGGTGAAGGGGGTGGGGAAGGTTAATGTCTGTAAGCAGCCTGTGATAGCAAGTATAATATATAGTCATTGACTGTGCAGGAGAAGCTGTGGGAGTAGTTTCAGGATTCGTGTTCCATTTAGAGAAATGGGAATTAACCTGGGCAACCAAACTTCTATTTTGTTGTCAAAGGTATAATTTGATTGGCCAACTAGGGGTATAATAAAGTTAGCTCCCTTCCTCAGGAGAAAGTATGTCAAATTTAATCAAGAAAACCGTTGTATGAATACTGACTGCATGAATCGGTTGGTTTATTACTCATTCTTACAGTGGTTTAGCACAAGAGTTGGCAGTGTTTTTGGGCAGAGTGCCAAAAACGCCTCGACTTGTAAGATGTTGGCGTGCCAGGGGTGGATGGTGGGGAAGCTAAGAGGGGCCTGATCCTTGTTGTTGCAATGCAGCCCTGATCTCTTCCCTGCCATCTGCCTGGAGGCAAGCATGCAGCTCTTGCCAGCAACAAGCCAGGCTGGAGCTCTGGGGACCCTGTTGCAGTTGCTTGCAGCCTCCCCGCCACCTGCTGCATGCAGCCTGGACTCCACGGTTGGCAGCAGAGGCCTGCTCAGAGCCTGGGCCTGCTGTGGTAGGCAGCCAGGAAGCTGCAAGTGGCTGCACTGAGGTCTATGGAGCCCCAGCCCAGCTTGTAGCCAGTGGCTGGTGCACGTGTGCCTCCGGGCGGACAGTGGGGCAGGAGTTAGTGCTGTACTGCCACAACAAGGATCAGACCCCTCGCAGCTTCTCCGGCCATCCACCCCTGGCATGCCAACATCTTACAAGTCTAGGTTGTAGGTGTTTTTGGCACTCTGTCCAAAATCATTGCCGACTCCTGTAGTAAACCATTGGAAAGGTGGGGAGGCTGCACCAGGGTCTGCAAAGCCCCAGCCCTGCTCATTGCCAGCAGTGGTTGATGCGACCTTGGGATTGATGGCAGGGAAGTCCCTTTCTCACTGTCCACCCCAAGAAGCATTTGCTGGCACACATACAGAGATTTGCTAAGCCTTGGTTTAACACAGCAACAAAGGTAGCAGAGTTGTGGACTGTCCTCATGGAGTATATCTTATAGTGTCAGTCATATCAGAGCATTCAGAGATTCCCCAAACTTTACCCCAGAGGGCCTACAATCACTGTTGGAGTGGTTACTTTTGTATAGCATGCGAGTAGGAGGCACCACAGAGGATTTAAGATGACAGGAGAATTGATACGACTGTAATACTTGTATCTTTCCCCTCCATATTTAAAAGAGACTGTTTTCCTGAACTAAAGACCTCATCCTGAAGACTGCAACTTGGTAATATTCCCAGTACAGCAGTTATATATACATACATATATTGAACAGCTTTTGCAAACATGGGATTTGTCTACAGAGTCACTGCAGCTCATACAGAAAATGTACAAAAGTTACTTTAAGCAGGTTAACTGCACAAGTATTTATTCCTTAGGTGGATTTTGCATTCTGTTCTGAGATCCAGTGACTGAAGTGCAGATATAACCTCAGTGTTGTAACCTGTGGTTATTACAGGAACTTTTTTGAATAAATGCATAAGAAGAGCCTTGAGCAACATTGTTTCCCATGCCTTTCATATACCTCATTACAGCAGTAATGTTAGAATGATGTTGTAGCCATCATGGGCTAGGAATTATGTGAGGCAAGGATTTTTGAGGGGGTGATATCTTTTATTGGACCAGCTATATACTTGGGATAAAGTTAGACAAGTTAACTTTGCAGTCAAAAGCTTGTCTAACTTTATCCCGACTATACCAACAAAAGGTATCGCCCAAAAAATTCTTGCTTACAGCTATAGTGACATTTTAAAGATAACATATATCTAACTACACCTTCAGCCTGACAGGAGAGAGAAGTCCTAGATTATTTAAAGTATATGTAGTGTTCCCTTTACCATTCAACTGATTTGAGAAGAACGAATAATTTATAAATGTTCAAGTGCCCATTAACTGAAATAACTACACTAACTCTTGTTTTGCTGTAATGAACCTCTCTGAATACTGGAAAGACCTTGGTCTACTGCTAATGAAATATGTTATTGATGAAACTATAAATTTTTGCAGTGATATTCTCTTGGAAACAAACAAAAACAATTTGGGAAAAACATTTAATGCTAGTATATGCTAGTATCAGGCTATTTTTCTTATTGTTCTTACAAATCCTAAAAAGATACTTCATTCCCTTTTATGGGTGCTTAATGAAAATTAATCAGTTGAAGGCTTGAATACTATTTCTGACCCCCATCCACATTGCAATTTCTAGTCCATCCTGACATTGTTTTCAAAACTGGTTTCTGAAAAACATTTCAGGTAACATGGTTTAGTTGATAGGGTTTGGGCTTTTGTGGAAATACAGACTTTTTAAAAATGTTTGTTTTCATTTTTTTCAGATAATTTTTCTCTGGTTACACAAGCCAGCACATGCTGACAATGCCATGTTTCCTGAAATTTTTTTTAGGAACTGATCTTAGAGAAAACAGGCAGGAAACATCATTAAAAAATCTGGATTGGGTCTCTCTCTCTCTCTCTCTCTTTCTCTCTCTCAATGTTAGCTGCTACATGTTGAATCATACAAGCTGATTTTCCAACAAATATGTTTATATAGTTTGTGCAGCAGAGAGCTGAATCAAGTCATTGGTACAAATTGTTGATGTTGTTTTACAAAGCCAAACCTATCTACCTCTTGAATTTGCTGCCATTGTTTTCCCTCCCCACCATCCCCCATCTTCATTAGGTTTGTTGTCTTTTAGTAAAAAAACATTTTTAAACATTTTTGTTCATTACTATTTTAATGTCTTCCTTTTAGCTTTCCATCACTTGGATACAGGTATTTAATTGTTTCTAGACAGGGATTCTGAAGAGTTCACCCTGTGCTAAAAATAACCTTAGACTATATAGTTCTTTCTTCATTTTTCAAGTGCTGATAAAACATAAATTTTATATATGTATAAAATCTGGAATCTGCTCTGGGGCAGTGGGAGGTGCTAGGTTCAACATACAGCTGCTTGTCACTCCTAGCCCTATCTATCTATCTATACATACCCCCCATACCCGCCCTATCTATATATATCGATAGGGCTAGGAGTGACAAGCAGCTGGATGTTGAACCTAGCACCTCCCACTGCCCCAGAGCAGATTCCAGGGTGCAGTGCAGATGCTGGAAGCTTGTTGGTCCCAGCCCTCACCACCACTAGAATCTCCTGATCGTATTGCCTCTGTGGAGTAGTCGACACATTAGCTCAGCACATGTTAGGTAATATGATCTGGAGACACTCCGTGCTGGAAAAATCCTAACTTTACTATGATGTGAGCACACTTATCCTGCATTTTATTATGTGAACACTTGGATACTAATGTTTTAAATGGCAGTTAAGCCATCCTAAGTTTAACATATGACAGGGCCCTCGGAGTCTTTGTTTTTTTAATAGTCATTTTAGTGTAATATCTTAAAATTAATCTAAATCGGGTAGAAACTGAAGGGAGAGATAAGAAAATGTCATTATTAAGACATACCCACTCCTCTCCACCACATTTAATTTTGTAGGTTGTCATCAGTATGTTAGGGGTGTGCGAAGCAGGCTGTATTCGATTCAGATTCAGCCCAATTCAGCAGACAATGATTCAATTCCCTGATTCGGATCACTGTCCTGATTTGATTCGGCCAAATCTGAATCTGAAGATTCGATTCTGATTTGGAGAATCAGCGATTCGGTCATAGACACAGCTTTATGTTTTTTCTACATAACTCGAGGTACCAGGCGCAGCTTGTGAACACTGAGATGGTGGGGTGGATAGAGCGTCCCATGGGAGCCTGGGGGGGTGGGTCCCCCTTGCGCTTGGCGGTAGACCCAGAAGTGGACCAGAAGTACTTCTGGTCCACTTCTGGGTCTGCTATCAAGCATAAGGGGGACCCCTCCCCATACCCACCCAGCTCAGCGATTGGCCACAGGGGACCCTGGGTACCCCCCCCAGATCCAGGCACTGAACCGGGGTGTGGAAAGGTCTCCTGCATGCTCCACGGCTAACCCAGAAATGGACCGGAAGTGCTTCTGGTCCACTTCCGGGTCCACCACCGGGCGTGCTAGGGACCTCCCCGTGCTCCCATGGTACACTCCATCCACCCCACCATCTCAGTGTTCATGAGCCTTGAGGTATGTAGAAAAAATATTTAAAGCTGTATATGTCTGAATCATTGAATCTCTCTGAATCAATTCAGAGGGTTCCGATTCAATTCGGAGAGTTTAAAGGGTCTCCCGATTCAATTCAGATTGAAATATTTGGCGGCCGAACCGGGCCAAATCTTCTCCAAATCGAATCAGCAACCAAAGCTTCGTACAGCCCTACAGTATGTACCCAGAGAGATATTAAATATATAGTGCCAGTATTCAACAAGGAAGCTCTATGTTCCATTTGAAGAGCCTTTAAACTAGAAATGTTGCTTTTCTCCATCATGAGTAAGACAGCAGTGAATAAAGCAAGTGCCTTTTGACAGGTGTTCTTAATCCTTGAGTATACGTACATACTCACTGTTTTGGGCAAATGTGCATTGCTGGAGAAATGGTCCTCTCAGTCAATACATTCACATGTTGCTTAAATATGTATTTCTCCATTTTGCTTCATAGGTAATGCCCCTGCATTAGTGGTTGTAGTCATTTCTGGTCAAATTAATGAAAAATATTTAATTACTGATGATAGAGATGTGGGGATACCAACTTACTGGCCCCACAGACACAGGGATAGCAGCCATAGTAAGTTGTGTTCATAAAACAAACTAATTTTATGACAGCATCTTTTAGCTGGGTCACAAGGGAAGTAATATTCAAACCTGAAGTGGTATTCTTTATAAGTTATTTTTATGTGAGATGATTGTATATTTTCAGCAGTGTGGCAAATCCTGGGCTGAAAATGACTATTTCTTGTGCAGTTCCATTTAGTAGTTACAGTGAGGCACTTCTGAATGAACATTAGTAGTGATTAATATTGATTTCATGGTGTTTTGGAATCTTTGTACCTTATTAACTTCTAGAAGTTGAACTAAATCCAAAAAGTGGCCAACTTTTCTTAAATGTTGTGTGTCACCCCAATAATGTAGGCTTCCAGACTGATCCCATTGCTCCCTTTCCCTTATCACAATGGATATTTCTTCAGTGAAAGAGGATAAAAGCGTAAAGAAGAAAACAGGCCTACTCTGGCATTACATATTGTTATGAGTAACTGTCACATCTTCTGTTTGCACAGGGATTTGGCAGCAGATCTTCTCATGATGACACCCAATAATGAACTGCAGTTGGTAAAACTCTGTGCTTTCTATCCTGGGTGTGCGGCAGAGATAAATGACCTACATGAAAAGGTAACTTAAAGAACCATTTACTTGAACAGAAGTTATATATTGATCTGTTTCTTAATGAGTAGATATGTTCCAATACTAGGAATGAAGATCGTCCTTCATATCCATTTTTGGTATTTGTGCTTGATTCGCATTAGGAATTGATGCGCACTCAACAGGAAATGCTCATTTGCTTTTTATTATGTGGCTAGTAGCAAAGTAAAGTCAGATCCTCTACATAATGAGAATTTGGTTTTCTCTTATGGAGCTTACTATCCCCGTGTCATGGAAGTCTGGCCTCACTCCCACACACAAGATTCCCTTCCCTACCACGCTGACTGCATCTGGTGGCTACTGCCTCCCTAGCCTGACACTTCCTTTGCAGCCTGGAAAAATCTGTTAACGCTGCTTGCTTGACTTCTGATTCTGACTGCATATCTAGCTGTTACACAAAGTAGCCTTGCCATGAAAAATTCTTACAAAGAAGGACCTTGGAATGGGGATGCTGACATTTACCAGGCTTTGGTGACTAGACCTTCCGCTCCTCCAGTTCACTCCTCTTCAGGTCATAAGAGTCACTTACTTAGTGTGGTTACATGCATTAAATAATCTCATCAAATGATGACAATTGCTTTTTTCTTTTTGTTAGAGGTATTCCGATTTGACTATACTATGTGTGAATCGCACTGCTTGCTACCATATTCAAACAAAATCTTTTTTTGTAAAACCTTTGTTTTCTAGTGTAATCTACCAGGTGTAGAAGAATGTTTGCAGTTGGCAGAGACAGCTGAGGGAACTGGAGATTTATTTGAAACCATAAAGTATTATTTGCTAAGTACAGAACCAGAAAAAGCCCTTCCTATTGGCATTCAGTATGTTAAAGGTATGCTTCTGAATGGAGGAGACTCATCTAAATGGAGTAAAATGTTTCAGCTTTTGGCTTTTTATTTATTGTCCCTCTTGTTTTTTCATATTTTCCAACAGAACAAATTAGTAGCTCAGATTGGACTTTGGATTCAGTATGCCCATACCTTGATCTTCTAAGCTATATACGCACAGAACGATTGGTGCTGCATAAATGTAGTGAGTGAGTATATTTTGTCACAACTATAAAATTGAAACTTCTTTTGTTTAAAGCGTATTTATCTTTGTTTACAGTTATGGAATGCTTTTCTTGCCTGCAGCCAGTAAGCACTTGGACATCTTTCCATCTTGGCTCTCAGTTATACCATCTGAATAAAAATTACAAGTGCAATCATGCTACTTAATCCTACACTCCTAACTTACACAAGTAAAAGGGTGTTTTCACAAATGCTGAGACTGATAGACCTTAAATTCAGATTCAGACAAACTGTTTGTGTTCACTGTAACAGACTACGATCCTTGCAGAGACTAATGTATTTAGTTGAAATGTAGTTGAATGTAGTTGAAAACTCATGTCACAGAGGTGATGAAATTGTTGGGTGCACTTCAGACTATAAGTTCTTTTGGGGTTTCTTTTGGAAAGGTTATGAAGAAGGTAGCTAGCTGTAAGATGGAGCTTATGTAACATCTAGTCACCACCTGTACCTTGACAATCATTAAATAGTCGTTGGTCTGTGCTCAATACAAAGGCTGCTTTTCTTGCATTGGTATTAGACTTGTCAGCTGCCTTTGAAACTGCTGTTCATGAAATGTTGATAACTTAGAGCTGGAAAATGCCAGTTCATCAAAAATGAAACATTTTGTGGAAATGTGTTGAATTTAACTAAACTAGCAGACTGCAGACAGGGTATTATCTGCAAGGCATCCCTGCAAGGGATTGGGGTGGCTTGGGAAGCAGGCAGGGGGTGGGGCCAGGCAGCGAAGGGATCAAGGGGGCTTGGGGGGCAGGTGGGGGGTGGGGCTGAGTAGGGATCGG